AAGAGGCCGTCCTGTGCACGCTCGAGGTGGCACACGAGCTGAAGTTCGCGGAAGTGGTCGAGTGAGTCTTGGACAAGGAGGATAGCGGCACACTGGATCTGAGAGAAGTCGTCAGTTTGCGATCGAGACAGCGTAAGCGAGATTCAGCAACAGAGCGGACAAGGAGGAGGGCGCACCTAGACGTAGGCTGGCTGATTGTCGGTGAGCTTACCGTAGAGCCAGATGGAGGGCTGGTGGACCAGGACGTCGTCCCGAAGGGAGTCGGAGTTGTAGCCGGCAGGCTGTGGCCCTCATCGACACTGACCAGGTGGTCGGGCGGCGGAGCATGATGAGATGAGGTCGGGGGGAGGGAGGTCGGCGGGGCGCGGCGAGTGGGAGTGGGTGGGTGGTGGGTGTGAGTGGTTGTGCGAGTGGCTGCTGTGCTGGAGCAGGGAGAGCTGTGCTCGTCGTCGTCGTTCGTCGTCGTCGTCGTTGCGGCCACCGAGCTGGGTTCGACTCGCTCGCCTCGCTCACCGCTTACAGCGCCTCGTCCACCTTCGAGCCAGCTCCATGCCTGCTCTCGCTACTCCCCCAGACCGCAACCTGGTCCGCATCGGCAAGGAACGCGTCGAGAGCGTGCGTCCCCCCCTCCTCCTCCTCCAGCCTCATCTCGTCTCGTCCCTCGTCGGCCTCGGCCACCCTCCCTGACCGTACGCACCCTCCCACCCGCCCAGGTATCCGCCACCGACTTTCCAGGCCACCACCCGGGCGAGTCGCACCACTGGGATCTCGACCTCTTCCGCCGCCAGCTCCGCGTCCAGCTCAACTGGCTCAGCCCGACCGCCCTCGAGTTTGACCTCGTCGGCGTAGACGCCAGCGTCGCAAACGCCATCCGCCGCATCGTCATCGCAGAGGTGCGCCCAACCTCGCTCCCTCGCACCCACTGTCCTCCCTCGACAGCCCCGCTCACCTTGCACCGCCCGCCCACCCGCCTCCCGCCGCCTCGGAAACAGGTCCCGACCGTCGCCATCGAGAACGTCTACATCTGGAACAACACGTCCATCGTTCAGGACGAGGTCCTCGCCCAGCGCCTCGGCCTCATCCCCCTCGCCATCGACCCGCGCAAGGTCGATGCCAAGAAGGGTGCGCACCTCGCCCTCTTGCCGCCCATTTCTCGCCCCGACCTCGCCGTTCGCCCTGACTCTGTGCCTCCTGCACCTCGTCCCTCACGCAGCTGCCGACGAGCCGCCGACCGACCTCAACACGGTCGTCTTCAGCCTCGTCGCCCGCTGTACACGGCGACCCGACGTCAAGAAGGGCGAGACCGACCCCGAAAAGATCTGGAACGGCACCCAGGGTGCGTCTCCTCGCTCTCTCGCCGCCGGCCTCGCCGCCGAGGCCGATCCTCGCGCACACCGGGCGACACGCTCACCTCACTCGTCGACCGCAACAGTCCTCTCGTCGGCGCTCGAGTTCAGCTCGAGGGGTGGCCAGGACAAGCTCTTTGGCGCACACGAGCCGAAGCCGGCCGTCGACGACATCCTCATCGCCAAGATGCGCGGCGGCCAGGTGCGCCCACCCTGTCGCACCCGCCGCCTTTCTGCGCCACCGTCTCTGACCTGCTCGGCCGCCGCTCCCCGCAGGAAATCGTCGCCGAGCTGCACTGCAACAAGGGCATCGGCAAAGATCACGCCAAGTGGTCCCCAGTCGGTGCGTCCTCGCCTTCATGCCCTGTCCGCCCTCGCGACCGACCGTCCTGACCTGTGCCACCCGTCAGCCACTGCCTCGTACCGCCTCCTACCGACCATCCAGCTCCTCTCCGACGTCCCTCGCGACCTCCACGCCAAGTTCCAGGCCTGCTTCCCCGCCGGCGTCATCGACATCGCCGGCGATGCCCTCGTCGTCGCCAACGCGCGCCGGGACACGGTCAGTCGCGAGGTGTTGCGGCATCCCGAGTTCGAGGACAAGGTCAAGCTGGGCAGGGTGCGCGACCACTTTATCTGTGCGTCGGCTCGCCCTCCTTCCTCTCGCACTCGGCCCGTCCCTTTTCCCTCGTCCCCGCCTAGCCCTTCCGCCCGTGCGGATCGAGGGTCCTGCGCCGGTCACTCACCCTTCACCCTGTCCCTTCCAGTCAACGTCGAGTCGGCCGGCCAGTACGCCCCGCAAGAACTCGTCCCCGAAGCCATCCACGTCCTCCTCGACAAGATCCGCGAGGTCCGCAGAGCCTTGTCAGCAGCCACAGCGTGAAACGGACGCGACTTTGTCTACGTCTCAGTGCGAGCAGAGCGAGAGATTGTGCCCGAAAGCGCTCTCGTCGTCACTGCCAGGCAAAGCAAGCTGCCGACCGTCCAGACGAGCCACTTCGAGAAGGTCGCGGGTCCGTGCGTCGGTGCTCGACAGGCTCGGGGCGCTCGCGCATTCTCGAGTACTCGTTTCGAGAGGTCCGTCGAGAGCCTCTCGGGTTCACAGAGGGCAGTACCGCGACCGCTCGCTCGACCACTTCCTCCTCGCTCTCCTTCTCAGCTCAGAATCGTGAGGGCGGCCAGGCGAGAGGGTCGCCGATCAGGCTCAATTCTCGAGTACTCGTCTCATAAGGTCCGTCGAGAGCGTCGCGGGTTCACAAAGACTGCTTCAGGATCGTGAGCTCTCGAGTCGAGCAAAGCCAAAGACTCGAGGTCGAGCGAGACGCAGCCGCGCAGCTTTCTCCCTATCGCTGGAACATGTTGTCGTCGGTCAAAGGAACGAGCGGCTGGGACGTGTCGACCGCCGAGAGCGAGAGCGAGAGCGAGAGCGAGCAAACGAGGGAAGCGCGTTTGAGAAGGTCGCGGGTCCGTGCGTCGACTTTTCGCTCTTCGGCGTTGCTCTCCTCGCGCAGAGACCGCTCCGCTTTCTTCTTTACGAACGAATGGCAGGTCGCGGCGGAAGCTAGGAGAGACTGACGTGGAAATGAACGCGGTTTGCGCACGTTCAGCGACAGAAAACTAGCAATTACACGGCATGCCCTTGCGCTACGTCCTCGTGCTACCGCTGCAGCTCGCGCATCGTCTTTTCGACGCTCCGCCACCTGCTTCGACGCATGCTCCCCTCCAAGAAGATGCCGCACTTGTTCGCCTGGAAGCGAAAGACCTGATGGTCTCGAATGGGCGAGACGACGAGCATGTAGTACGCCAGGAGGCCGGCAGACTGGCCCGCCTCGAGCGGCGGACGGTCGAGACCGAACGCCGACAAGGGTAGAGCCAGGTCCGCGACGCCCGACGACATCTGATTGCTCGAGATCCATCGAAAGACAGGAGGGGCGGATCGTCCGAGAAAGGCCAAAGGTTGAGGCCACGAATGTTCGGGGACGACACGCGCCTCCTCCATCTTCTTGACGACGCCTTGCGCGTGGGCCGGTGTCCGGGCGGCTTCGAGCGCCCGGCGGTGGAGGTAGGCGAGCTCCGCAAGGGAGAGCGAGGCGAGGCGGTCGAGCGAGATGGGGTCCGGCGTGAGAGGGTAGGGCAACATGGCGTTATGGGGATAGTTGGCGAGGGAGAGCATCTTGCGGAGGGTATAGACGGCGGAGCCCGTTATCGACAGCTGCTCGCCGACCTCCTCGCGGTGCGCGCTCTGCGAGAGAGGATGTCAGTTTGGTTCCTGGCGCACAGAGGGACAGAGGGACGAAGGACATGCTCACCTTGAGGAGCCATGCTGTGAGAGTGTCGCCTGCTGATACCCATCGGCGCTCGACTGCCGCCTCGGCCTTGGTCGACTGGACGAGCCGGCTGACGACTTGCTCGTTGAGGAAGAGGTACTTCTTCTCGTCTCGATACCAGGCCTTCTCGACGACGTAGTTGACGAGAAACTTGACGACCGGACCGACGCTCGTTGCGGACGTCCAGCCGGGTAGTGCGACAGGCCCACTGCTTGGCGGCGTCGGGAGCGACTCGATCGCCACGTCGAGCGCGTTCTCGCTCGACAGGGCGGGGGCCTGCCACACGTGCCCGTGTAGCTCGGCACTGAGCGCACGTACGGCGAGGCCGAGGCCCGTGGCGTCGAACAAGCCGTGCGGCGCCGACAGCCCGACCGTCACGGCGTCCGCGAACGTCGTCACGTGGACGGCGAGAAGCGACGCGTTCGCGTCGGCGTAGCCCTGGAACGATGTCGGAAGAGCGTCGTGGCGGAAGAAGGCGGTCTTGGGTTGCGGCTGGACCGTGCAGGGCGAGGTAGGCGACAGCGGGGTGAGGGGGCTCGACAGGCCGGCGGCGACGGTGTACGTGGTCGTGACGGTTGCGGAGGTGAAGAGGTAGGGCTTGTCCTCGGTCGCCGTCTCGTCAGGAACGTCGATGGCCCATATTTTGTCCTGCAGAGGCAGGGTCAATTCGCTGAACAAGCAAAGAAGGAGCTGGCGCACGCACCTCGTCGAGCCACCTCGGCCGGCCGCGCAGCAAAGCCCACTGGGCCGTGACCCGCCTCGTCGCGCTGTGCAGGTTCTGCAGCAAAGCGAGGCGAGCGGCGGCATCGCAGTCGGGCGGAAGCTCGAAGACGAAGCCGCTGCACAAGCCCATGGCCGCGACGGCGTGGTCGACCGCAGCGAGCGACGTGCTGAGGCGGACGAGCATGGGACAGGGATGGGCGAGGGAGAGGAGAGGAGCAACTCGAGCGCCGGGCGCACCCGTCCTCGTTCCCTTTGTTTGCCGGCGAGCGACGGGAGGCGAAAGCGGCGGCCCAGCTTGAGCTCGGCGGCGAGAGCTAGCAGGACCGCCTCACAGCGATGGCGGCAACAGCAGACAAGCTCGGAGAGCCCCAGTGCACTCGACAGAGTCGTGCAGCAGTGCTGCCGAGTGCGGCCGCCGCCTCGCGTCGACAAGCTGGCGGCTGCCGGGCGGCCGGGGGAGCCACCGCCTCGACGCATCTTGATCTCCAAGCCCCGCTCCGCACGCTCGGCTATGAAGCTCCTCGTCGTCTGCTGCCTCGGCCTGGCGGCTGGCCTTGTGCACGCGACCACGCTCGCCGTCGTCGACGAGCGGTCGGCGACATCCACCTTCGACCAGCTGTGGAGCGCTCTCTCTGGTGCGTCCCGAGCCTGCACGAGCACCCGCACTCGCCGAACTGACTCTGGGCCTACAGATGACGGTCACGACGTGGTCGTCAGCAACCCGCAAGAGGCCGCCGCCAAGCTCCGCCACGAGGGCGACCGCTTCCAGCACCTCGTCGTCTTCTCGCCCTCGGTCAAGGGTGAGCCGCCCCGCTCTCGTACTCGGCAGCCTCGTATCTCTCGCGCACACAGCTGACCGACCCACCCGCCCCACAGACCTGCCCGCCGAGTTGGCTCCCCAAGCCCTCGCTCGTCGGCTCCAAGGCGGCACCAACCTCGTCCTCGTCGCGCCGGCAGACGCTCCCGAGCTGTGGCGCGACTTTGCGCGCGAGTTCGAGGTCGACCTCGGCGACCGCGGCCAGCACGTCGTCGACCACCTCGCGTTCGACAAGCTCGGCGACGATGGCTCGCACAGCCTCCTCTCGCTCGCGCCCGCCAACTCGCCGTCGCCCTTCGTATCTGCGGCAACTCGTCGAGGTCCAAACGTCCTGTATCGAGGAGCAGGTCACACGGTCGGGCGCCACCCCCTCCTCACGCCCATCCTCCGCGCCGGCCCGACCGCCTTCCTCGCCGACGCCTCGTCCAGTGCTGCGTCCTCGGACGCTCGCTCTGCCGGCAGCAGCCTTGCCCTCGTCAGTGCCTTCCAGGCCCGCAACAACGCTCGCGCCCTCTTCATCGGCTCCGCCGACCTCTTCTCGGACGAGCTGCTCGCGCGACCTGGGTACGTCCTCCTTTCTCCAAACTCGTCCCGCTCCTCGACGTCGACTGACTCAGGTTGATGTCTGCAGCTCGGGCAACCTCGCGTTCGCTCTCGACATCCTCTCGTGGGCGTTCCAGAAGACCGGGCAGCTCCGCCTCGCCGACCTGAGCCATCGTGCGGTCGGGCACGTTGATGGCGCCCCTTCTTACCGCACCGGCACTGAACTGGTGCGTCCGCTTCCCTGCCTGAGCGCGCCGAGCCTGTCTTTCACGTTCAAGCACCCTCTCTGATGCCTCGTCGTCCGCGCTCGCAGAAAGTCGAGGTCGCGGTGTCTGCGACGCCGGCGTACGACGAGGACGACCTGCAGTTCGAGTTCGGCATGCTCGACCCGCATGTGCGCCTGCCCCTCGTCCCGGCGTCAGCACCTCGAGTCGCCGGCGCGAGCAACACGACCCGGTTCGAGGCCGCTTTCGTCATCCCGGACCGCCACGGCGTCTTTACCTTGCGCGTGGACCACCGGCGGCCCGGTTGGACGAGCATGCTGCAGACGCAGGCGGTCCCGGTGACGCCGCCGAGGCACGACGAGTACGAGCGGTTCCTCGCCGGCGCCTTGCCTTGGTACGGCGGCGCCGCGAGCGTTTCGGCCCTGTTCCTCGTCTTTGTCGCCGTGTGGACGTCGCAGTCGTAGCTTTCGAGTGCAACTGCTTGACGTCGGTCTCTCAGCGAGTCATTCTCGATCGAGGAGAGACTCGGAGAGACGCTCGAGCCTGGAAAGCTTTGCATCGGCAGATCTCTCCTGCCCGCCGAGAAAGCGCAGCCATGTCTTCGTTGACAGCGAAAGGTACAACAAGGGATGGCAGTCGGCACCTCCTCCGCTTCGCCGCTCCCGAACGTGCATGCTCGCGCTCGTCCTGAACCCGCACCGACCGCCCCTCTGCCTCGTCCCGAAAGTGCTCGCCGCTCATCGTTTTGCGGGCCTGCCAGACGCGAGAGTGCACGACGATGGTCAGTGTCGTTCGCGAGAGGAACCCCAACGTGCTCGCGAGCGAGAGGTGCGCAGAGCGGGGAGGGGAAAGGTGGAGGGAGAGAGTGTGCGACTCACTTGCCGCGGTAAGGCTGACGGCTCGGGGCAAACTCGCCGAGTTTGTGCCCAACCATCTCGGGCGTGACATGCAGCGGCACGTACTGCTTGCCGTTGTGCACGAGGAAGCGCATTCTGCGCGGGCGGGACAGAGGTCAGCACTCGCTCGACGAGGACGGCGCTCGGGAGGGGGAGCGGCACGCAGGGCGCACCCGATGAAGTTTGGCAAGATGGTGCACGCGCGCGAGGCCGTCCGGATGGGCGTGTTGGTCTTGATCGCCTGGCTGATGCCGGGGAAGGCGGTGAAGGCGGGTCCTGCAAAGGCGGCCGCGCAGTGTGAGTCGAGGCCGCACGACAGAGGCGAGAGGAGCCGCACGCACCTTTCCAGGCAGCTCGTGCCCACAGGGGCGTGGTCGGCAGCATGTTGCGAGCGAGGGAGGAGAGCCGGACCGCCGACGGCGAAGCTCGCCTCGAGTCCAAGTTGGGCGCTTCCTCGGCTGCTTGACGGCCACGGCTCTCGAGAGGGACGACGCGAGAGACGTGTACCACGCAGAACAGCTTGCAAAGCAGGCGAGCAACTCTCGCAGAACTCTTCTCGTCGACGGCACCACCGGGCTCGAGGCCTGAACTCTCGCTCGCTCGCGGCGTGGCTCAACAACTCAACGGTTCCAGCTGCGCTCCTCGTCCTCTCCCTTGACGTCCACCTTCATGTCGTCCTCGCGACCTCGAGCCGCGTCGATGAACGAGCCGCTCGAGGGCGAGACCTCGTGCGGCTCGTCGACGTCCAGGCCAACGTCGACGGGCGCAGCCGACGTCGCCGCTGTCGACGGTGGAGGCTTGCCGCTCGATGCCCACGACAGCTCGGCGGCGCCAAACTCAGGCGGCAGGTGACCGGAAGCGAGGGCCTGCATAAAATGGACGGGAAACAGTCAATTGTCGTCCTCGATCGGGATCTGGTTCTGGGGTAGACGCACCTGCTCAGCCGACTTGCGTACAGCGAACTCGACCGTGGCCTCCTTGCCCTCGTGGTCGTACTTGAGCGCGACGACCTCGCCGAAATGCTGCGCACGCGAGGGAAGGTATGCGTCAGGTCGGGAGGAAAAGGGTCCTGCGCCCGACGACGAGAGAGGAGCCAGAGGACGCACCTCGAGATGCGCTCGCAGGCGACGCAGTACGGCCTCCTCGCCGAGGGGACCAATGCGCAGGACGCGGCTGCGGTTGTCGAGGCGGTACTGCTGAGCGCGAAGGGGCGGCGGCGGACGGGGTCTTGTCGCGGCGGGGCCGCCGTACGGGCGCGGGCCAGCGGTCGGTGTGGTGGTCGTGTCGATCCCGAGCGATGCAGCCTGCGACGAGAAGGAATGCGGGTCAGTCAGGGCAAGGGAGGGGCAAGGGCGACCGTGAAAAGGTGGGGCCCGCACCTCGCGTTGCAGCTCGAGAAGGCGTACTCGCGCGTCACCGGGCGCCGGCTCGGCGACATCTGGACGAGGACGCGAGCGCAAGGCGTCGGCCTCGGCCGCCAAGGCGCGCAGGGCGACCATGATGTCGCGCTTGCGCTCGGCGCCGGCGCCTTGCACCTCGCTGAGGAGCGCCCGCTGCTGCTCGGCGTTGCGCTCGAGCAAGTGAGCTCGCGCCGCCGGCTCAGGATGCCGGGTAGATCTCGACACGACGATCGAGTTGCCGTCGAGCGCGGGCGTCGTCGTGGCGAGGCGGGCGCCGGTGGCGACACGCTCTTGGCCGCCGCTCGGGGCAGACGCCGGCGGTACGGGGCCCGGGTCGCGGGCGCGGTAGACTCGCACGAAGCGATTGCCGAACACGGCCTGGGGCGAGGCCAACGCCCGATCGGCCTCGTGCGGCGCCGAGAACGTGATGGTCGCGGACCGGCCGTCGACGTCGAGGCCGAGGTGAAGGATGGTGCCGAACGGCTGGAAGAAGTGGCGAACGGCTGCGTCGGTGAGGGAGGTGGGCGGGATGTTGTCGACGCTGATGACCCTGGACGTGCCGCGAGGAGGCCGCGCCGCCGGAGCGGGTTGTCGGGACGGGTCACCCGCCGAGCGGATGGACGCGCTCGAAGCTGCTCTGCGCGACGGGCCATCGCGCGGGAAGCTGAACGAGGGGGCGCCGGTGTGCGCGGCTGGCGGATACAGGCGTGCGGCGGCGGCAAAGGGAGGAGGGAAAGTCGACGGGAACGGGGCAGGGGGGTGGCCGGCGGCGACCGGCAGCGCGTTGTGCTGGTACGGGCAGGCGTCGCCACGCGCGCAGAAGCCGCGGACTGAGAGCGAGAGGGGCGAACGTCAGGTAATCGTCGGCCACGCAGGTGAGGGGGATGCGTAAGGACGCACAGTGGTAGTCGCGACACGGCGGACGATCGACAGGTCGCCCGGCTGCGCGCCCAGAGCTCACGCGAGACGACGAACTCGCGGGTCCTGCGACACGGGGCAGGGCTGCTCCCCCTCGAGCAGTCTGCCCGCCCTCGCCGGCCTCGGTGCGCGGTAACTTGGCCGACGACGGGGCGGGCTGAGGCGATCGCGCCCGCTTGAGCGAGGCAGACGAGGCGGTCGTCGCGAGATCTGGAACGACCTCCAGGGCCGATGGGCGGTCGGGCTGCTGCAGAACGCGCAGGAGCGAGTCGACGAACGGGGCCGAGTCTGCGGGTTGCACGAGGAGGGGGCTCGTCAGGAGGCTGCTAGGCTGCAATGCGACGAGGCGAAAGAGGGACGCACGCTGTTGCAGAAAGTCGTCGAGTTCGTTGACGCAGGACTGCCGCAGGTCGTCGAGGTCGCGGACGTCGCGCTTGAGGAGGGCGAGGACGTAGTCGGCGAGCACGAGAGGTTCGGCGTCCGAGCTGCGCGAGCAACAGCAGAGGGTCAGGACTGACAGGCGCTCTGGCGACTCGAACCAGAGGACGCGGGACCGAGGCAGAGAGGGAGAGAGGAGGACGGACATGGGCTCGAGAGCGCGGACGAGCCACGGCTTGAGCGTGAGCGGATCTGCTGCGACGATCATGCCCGCGGTGCCGGTGGTGGCTGCTGCTGCCGGGGGAGAGCGAGGCGCAGGTGCAAGCTGGGTGCGCGCTGGTGCGCGACGAGGTGGGCGAGGCGGAGATGAGGAGGCGGTGAGGCGAGCTCAGCCTCAGGGGAAGCGAGGCAGTCGCTGAGCCAGCCAATCCGAGGGCGCGGCGAGCCGTGATTGGCTCCTGCCCCCGGCGCGCGCGCTCCCAAGTCGACCCTCGCCGCCCGCGCTCGCTGCGAGCTCGCTGTCCGTCGTCCGTTGTCCGGCCACCCTCTTTCTCCCCAGCAAGAGCTCAACACGACAACGTGCGTCCCGTCTGCGCCCTCTGGCGCTCCCCCTGCCCGCCCCCCTCGCGCACCCGGTCGCCTCGCCGCCTCGCCGTCGTCGAGCGCAGCGTGCTGACTTTGCTCGTTCCGCCCCTCCTCGCCCTCGCCCTCCCGACCCTGCCCACCACCGTGCCGCCCTGCGTCGCCTCGCCGTTCTGTGCGTCTCGCCGACACCAACCTCGCCCCCTGTCGCCGCGTCGTCGCCCACCCACCTTGGCGCCTCCTTTCGCCGCACCCTCCCTCGCTCTCCCCGTCGCTCCACTCGACCCTCGCCTCGCACACGCCCCAACTCGCGCGTCGCTCTCGCCTGCACGCCTCTCGACCCACGCCCCGCCGACGACCCCATCGACGCACCGCTCCCTCGCCCACCCCCCCTCGTGTCGACCTCCCTCCGCGACTCGTCGACTCGCGCAGCATGGGCCGCTTCCAGGAGTACCAGGTCATCGGCCGCAAGCTGCCGTCCGACAAGGAGCCGCAGCCCAAGCTGTACCGGATGCGCATCTTTGCGCCCAACGACGTCGTCGCCAAGTCGCGCTTCTGGTACTTCCTGCGCAAGCTCCGCAAGGTCAAGAAGGCGACCGGCGAGGTCGTTGCCGTCAACGTGGTGCGTCCCTTCCCTTCCTCCCGGTTCCCCCCGTCCGGCCCGGTTCGGGTGCGCCAAGCGGACCTCTCGCTCGCCGAGCTTGAGCAGCGCCTGTGGAGCGGGACGTGCAGGCGCGGTTCTCGTGGCGAGCGAGGCGTCGGACGGCTAGATGCGAGTCGAGGGACGAGGCTAGGGTCGCGCGCTCGGGGGAGCGAACGCGCTGACCTGTCTCGTGCACGATCGCGCGCCCGCAGATCAGCGAGAAGAAGCCGCTCAAGGTCAAGAACTTCGGCATCTGGCTCCGCTACGACTCGCGCTCGGGCACCCACAACATGTACAAGGAGTACCGCGAGCTGTCGCGCGCCGACGCCGTCCACGCCTGCTACCAGGACATGGCCGCCCGCCACCGTGCCCGCTTCCGTTCGGTCCAGGTGCGTCCTCGCCGCGTCCTCTCTCGCATGTGCGACACCCGACCTGACCTTGTCGTCCACCCAGATTCTCCGTGTCGCCGAGATCGAGAAGACTGTCGACGTCCGCCGCCCGAACATCAAGCAGCTCCTCACCCCGAACCTCCGCTTCCCCCTCCCCCACCGCGTCGTCAAGAGCCGCAGCCTCTTCCTCGCCCACCGCCCGTCGACCTTCTACTAGGGCACTCTTGTTCCATCGAGCACGAGGTCTCAGTAGCAGGTGGTCTGCAATCGTGTCGAGCGAGCGTTGTCGCGCAGTGAGCGAACCGGGAGAGCTGGACATGAGAGCGCTCGCTCAGGGCTCGGGCTCGGTCGACCTCTCGAGACGAGTACTCGACGATGAGTCCAAATCTGCAGACCGCTCCCGGTAACTAGTGCCCGCTCGGCTCTGCGCTCAGGCCGGCACTGGCCCCATTCAGTTGTCGACAGCATCGCACTCTCGCTCCGCGCCACTCTGCCACTCTCGCTTTCGCTGCAGGACGCCGTACGACAGCTTAATTACAAATACGGAGGACCGAGCTGCTTGCGGAAGACGCCGAGAGTGAACTCGACGACGAGGAGGAGGACACCGCCGCCGGGCGCGAGTCGGAGCACTTTGGGGAGGAAGCCCGAGTAGAGGGCGCCGAAACCCTCCTCGCGAGCGATGAGCAAGAGGGAGGGGAACGTCCAGCTGTACTTGGGCGCCTGACCTGCAACCTGCACGCACTCGATTTGGGTCAACGCCGTTCCCGGTCGTCCTCGACGAGAGAAAGCGCTCGAGAGAGAGAGAGGGCTCACCTTGATCGAGTTCTGGACGCGCGACTTGACGACGTCGACTGTACGAGAGGAGGCAAAGGGAGAGAGTCAGGGTCGGGTCGAGGGAGAGGGAGAGAGAGGGACGGGACGAGGGCGCACAGGGCGTGTTGAAGGCGGTACCGACAAAGCCGCCGACCGCGCCCGAGACAAAGTCGTTGAAGAGCTGCGCCGACTTGGTCTGCGCAGGGCGACGAGGCCGGCGTCAGGTTCGAGGTGCGCGCAAGAGAGGAGACGAGAGAGAAGGGTTCTCGGGACGGACCTGGGCTTTGGGCATGAGGCTGCGGACCTGGAAGATGCAGCCGAAGTAGCCGCCGTTCCACATGACGTGCCTGCGAGACGAGCAGAGGAGGGGGTGAGCGACTTTGAGCGCTCGAGCGAGGCGAGGCGAGGCGACGAGACGAGGAGCGAGAGGGGACGGACCGCCAAAAGGTGGGCTCGAGTCCGGCGTACATGCCCAAGAGGCCCTCCTTCTTGATGATCTGGCCGACGACGTCCATCGGGCCCTTGTACGTGCTGTTCTTGTCCTGGAGGCGAATCTTGACGAGCTCGAACGGGACGACGACGATGCTCTCGGTGGCGCCCGCGCTGCAGCCCGTCAGGATCGACAGGCCCTGGGTCATCTTGTCGACGCCGAACGTCGTCTTGAACGTCTTGCCCCAAAAGTCGTTGGCGGCGAACTTGACGGCACGCTTTGGCGCCTCGAGCATGAGGGGCGGCACGAGGCCGCGGTACAGGCGGCCGGCGCTGTCGACAAGGAAAGGCGAGGTGTGAGTCGGGTGGGGGACAGACAGGTCGAGAGGGACGCCGACACGCGAGAGGAGATGCACGGACCCTTCCTTTGCGATGATCTTGCGGAAGCAGTCGACCATGCCGTTGTAGTGCTCTGCGCCGGCGACGGGCTTGCCGACCTGGAGCTGCATGCGCGTCTTGACCTGGAGGAGCGCGCGAGGCGGCGGCGAGAGAGGACCTGGTGGGTGAGCGAGTCGCTCCGAGGCGAGCGGACGAGGAGGAACGAGGGACGCACGACATCTGAGCGCGCGTGCGAGTTTGATCGAGGCGCGGCGGGTAGGCGAGTCGGGATGCAAG